AGCTGCCCTCTGGTGGTCAGGGCGCTCTCACATGGGAGGAGCTCTGCTCAGCCACAAGCCAGGCTGATGGCTGCCAGTACAGCAGTGGTGGTGGGAGCCTCTCCTGCCTCCTCAGCAGCACTAAGGATATCCGACTGCAGTTTAGGCCTGCTCGCCGCTGGCAAGTGGACATCCCCCGAGGGCTGCCGGGCTGCCAGAGGGATGTCCGATTGCCATCTTAGGCCCAATCCCCCGGGGAGCGGGCCTAAGCCAGCAGGTCATCCCCTGAGGGGTCCCAGACTGCGAGAGGGCACAGGCCGGGCTGAGGGACACCCCTCCCATCCCCCCCGAGTGCACAAATTTTTGTGCACCGGGCCTCTAGTATTCTAATAACTATGTATGGTGTCAGCTGGGTATGAGATTTATCAGGATAATCACTTAGTAAGTTATACTGTCTAATCACTGGGGTGTACACCTAAAACTAATATAATATTGTATGTCAACTGTAATTAAAACCTTAAAAAATGATTAAAAATAAAATAAAACAAAACTATTTCAGGCTTCTGAAATGCAGGAAATATTTCCATCCATATTGTATAAAAATACTATTTTTTACCAAAATCATAATGCATCATTTTATAATCAGAATATAGCTGACTGAAACCTCAGAAGTCCCCTTCCATTCAATGGGGAAACAAATCAATCTAAACAAAACCCACTGACACACAAAAAATCGCTATTATCAAACCTACCGGATCAACAGTAGGCAAAACATCTTTCTTTTCCAGGCCATCGACTTCATCTTCATCCGTGCTATATTCTTCCATTGTTTCACCACTGACAAAGTGGATGACTCTCCTTGGGACTTTCTTCTTTTTTCCGATGACTCCCAGTTCTACATTTTCAAAGCTTCTTTCATTACTCATCTAATGTTGATAATAAATTAAGAAAATGAGAGTTTCAAGTGAGATTAATATTCATTCACATGACCAAAAAAAATTCCAGGTTGCTTTATTTTAGGGAATAAGAACATAAGCCAATTCTTAAACAGTTTTTAAAAAAATTAAACAGCCCTGACCGGTTTGGCTCAGTGGATAGAGCATCAGCCTGCGGACCAAAGGGCCCCGGGTTCGGTTCCAGTCAAGGGCATGTACCTTGGTTGCAGGCTCCTCCCCGGCCCCAGCCCTGGTCAGGCCTCCTGCAGGAGGCAAACAATCGATGTGTTTCTCTTACATCAATATTTCTCTCTGTCTTTCCCTCTCTCTTCTATTCTCTCTAAAAATCAATGGAAAAATATCGAGTGAGGATTAACAAAAACAAACAAACAAAAAATAAATAAATAAAGGTGATTAAATGTTTAAAATAAAAAAATAAAACAGATCATATACACACAAAAGCATCAATAGCATTTAAAAAGAGTTTAATCAATAATAAAGCAAACATCTGCATAGTCAATAACAAGGTGAAAAAACAGAACCTAACCAATTAAGTTTAATTTTGTTTAAGTAAACAGCTAAGAAATCAAGCACCACACTTCAAGTCATAGCAATTCCAACACTGTATAATATGTGAAGACATGCTGAACATCAATCATTTTAAAGACTAACACTGCCCTGGCCGGTTTGGCTCAGTGGATAGAGCGTCGACCTGCGGACTGAAGGGTCCCAGGTTCGATTCCGGTCAAGGGCATGTACCTTGGTTGCAGGCACATCCCCAGTGGGAGGTGTGCAGGAGGCAGCTGATCGATGTTTCTCTCTCATTGATGTTTCTAACTCTCTATCCTTCTCCCTTCCTCTCTGTAAAAAATCAATAAAATATATTTTAAAAAAATAAAGACTAACACTAATTATGGCTGAATTAATGTGTAATATCAAGAGAAAATCATATGACACACATATACATATGTTAAATACATAAAATAACAGTTCAAATTAAGAAAGTCTAATTAGTATTTGAATTTGAGCTTAGCTATGTGTGAGCGTAACAAAACCAGTTCAGCTTAATTCTGAAGCTCTCCTTTTCTCAAAACAGGAGTCCTAAATTCAAATGCCTTTTAGGGCCAAACAGGTACCAAAATGAATAAAGCTACAGATGGCAGGATAGATGCTTTAGAGAAAAAATGCCTCAACTAAAGACATTAAATTGAAAATAATTTTAAAGCACTGTGCAGGTCAAATAAAACTCATTTATAAACCAGATCTGTAAAGCAGGCCATCAGTGTTTTATCTCTGAACTTCCAGATTTCTTAGTCAATAATATACAGGTGACAACAGAGTTTTTCTGATAGTAAAAAATTTTACAAATTTTTAAAGTATAATACTTAAGTCTATGGAATTCTAATTATATCCAAGTTCCACTCCTACATATATATAGCCATGTGCCAAACTCAGAGTAAGTGCAAACAATGGGAGAATATAAGTAACTTTTTTTTCCCCTCTCACCTTGCCTCAGGTTTAAACTCCTAAGAAAACCTTCATTGAATCTTCTTACCTGAAGATTTTGAAAAGGCACAGTAGTAATAATTGTGAGAAAAAAAAATCTGGCAACAGTGAAAATGGGGGAGGAGGGAATGATCAAGGGGGCTTTTTGTTCACATTTTAATTTTGTTTTGTTTTGTTTTTGTGATGAGGATATGTTCATGTATTACTGATACAATTTAAAAAGTAAACCAAAGCAAAATGATACAGGACTACAGGACTGTCATGATTAGAATCCATGTCTGTAGGATTCTCTAGGATAGTCCAGAGTTTAAAATTTTGTCTTCTAAAAGGATTCTTAAACTTGTAAATATGACCAAACATAATTTAAATCCATGATTATTGTTCAACTAGTAGTTAAGTTTTCTGAACTACATTTGCAGAGAGGGACTGTACTGATAAAAAATAGTTGACTAGAATTGCCAAGTTATGTAAGTATAAGTAACTTTACTTTTATGCATTGTTCCTCTTAATCTTCTAAGGTCCTTCTTAGAAAATAAATATGGTTCTTCTGTGTCATTCACTTGCCAAAAGTAAATTTAGTAATTAGCCAGGATTTGAATCAAGATACAGTATATCCAACCCAAAGAATTCAGGCATTCATTGTTCCATTAAGCACATGGTCATCACTGACAGAACTATCACTGCTGTATACTCTAGTAGCAAACTGAGATCATGAAAACCTTGATAGCATGGGCTATCTATGAATTAATCTTTAAAAACAAATTTCCTTAGCCTGTCCTAAGGGCTCAAACAAATCCCAGCCCTTAATAAAGAAAGACCAATCCATTTAGTGTGTCCATTAAAAAAATGGACAACATATGGCCTATCCACATCTCCTTTCTTCTATCCCTGATCCCTAGCCACAGTAAGCCCTTCCTACCCCAATCTCATATTACCCCTTGATGTAAGATTTGGTTTGGATTGTCCTGACATCAAAGTCTCCTTTTGGACCATGACTTTTTTAATTCCCTTTTAGACAAGGGACAGTCAGAAGAGCTGGTTTAGATCTCCAGTCATCATACTAACTAGATGGATCTGACGTCAAAGCAACAATCCCTGTCAGTGAATAGAGCTGAGAGCATTCACAGTACATCACCATGCTCCCTTCTGCCCCCAACCCACTCCCATCAGAGCAGAAGCAGCTTCTCACGGCTCCCTAAGCAATCTCTCAGTGGCTCAACTACTGTATCTTCCTTCAACAACTTTAGTAAATCAAAACACTCTGGCTGGGTCATAACATCTAGTATAAACTTAGCTACTATCTCTATTCTATGACTTTTGGTTATATTCTTTCCAAAACATTTTTTTAAAAATCTGTCCAGCCGGCGTGGCTCAGTGGTTGAGCATTGACCTATGAACCAGGAGTTCAAGGTTTGATTCCTGGTCAGGGCATATGCCCAGGTTGCAGGCTCGATCCCCAGCAAGGGGCATGCAGGAGGCAGCTGATTAATGATTCTCTCTCATCATTGATGTTTCTGTCTCTCCCTTCCTTTTTGAAATCAATAAAAATATACTTTAAAATAAATAATTAATTAAATAAATAAATCTACAAAAGGGCAGAGAGGTGAGTGGGGGAAGATTAACCAGGAAACCTATATGCATATATGCATAGCCCATGGACACAGACAATAGTGTGGTGAAGGCCTGGGACAATGGGAAAAAAACCACAAAGGGGAGGATCTATAATACTATCTATCAACAATAAAGATAAATTTCTTAAAAATCTATAAAAAAGAAGGCTGAAACACAAAATTTTTTTCCTAAGCAAAATTTTTATTTTAAAATAAAAATTCCTTCAGATCTTCACTTACACAACAAATAGTTATAATTAAATCTTTCCTAATTCACAAGCATTATAATTTATAATTACTGAACATTTGCCCAGTTTTCCAGGAAAATATCTGCACACTACACATCAGGAAATGCTCTTAGAAATCAACACGGGATAAATGAAAAACTAAAAGTTCACAGCTTTTGCTTTCATGCACAGTAAACCTAGTTGTGTCTTCATAAATTACAGGAACCTTATCTTTCTTACCTGTTTTAGCCAACATTCATACTAGTACATCCCTTCTGTGAAAGACATTGCTGAGTATGGTAGGAAATACAGAGGGAAATGAGCCAGTCCCCGCCCTGGGGGGATATGGAAAATACACCCACAAGGACAGAGCACAGCTAGTGAAGTAACTCAGGAGGAATGGTAACAAAAGGAAAAGGTGACCTCTCCTCGGCCCTGAAAAATGAGAAAGATACCACACAGGAGATGGAAAGGGAGAGCACTTCTGACTGAAAGAACATAAATGTTCAGTTCAGTTGCAGTAGCAAAAGCAACCCCCAGATCAGGTTCAAAACTGAAAAGCTACATGTACAAAAAGGCAAAAGCATCTATTCTACTTGCTTTAAAAGAAAACTGTAACTCATTCTAGCTGCATGCAAAGTAGAAACGAGGAACGAGGGGTGACTCTTTGCCTATCAGTATCAGAGACAGGCTGGAATCAGGGCTACAGGCCTTATGCTGGAGGAGTGCTCCCTGGGTTTCAGAGCTGTCAGCAGGGGACGGGGGCTCTTTTCCCTCACCTCCTTGGGGGCCTAGGCGTTGGGGGGACCAACTGCTGCAGTTGTGCCAACAAGGCAGAACTATGACAAAACTGCTGGTTACCAAAGGCTTCTCTGTACCACACACAGTCAGTTCTCAACCAGAGAACTGGAAGAGTCAGTTCCCCCAGGGTGTGCTTTGGTGCCACTGGCACAGAACTAAGAAAATCCCTCTCCTAAGAACACACCTGTGCCTGATGGATCCCAACCCAAGTTACCTTGATGCCCCAGCTCAGAATAAATGGGGTTCCTTCGGCTGGGGAACCTCAGCCCTGAGCCACAGCTCCCCCAACGGGGAGCACTGTCACCAGATCCAGGCCCAGCGGGAGCAGTAACAGCCACTCTAGCATGGCAGAGATTTCCGGTCTTCACCCCACCAATGAAAGGCTACAAGAGAGGTTGCGCCCAGGTTTCACACATTGAACCATCTGAGCACATCCTGGCTGGTGCCCAAGGGCCACTTCCCAAAGCCAGGCCTCCACGCCTCCATGGACCACAGGTGGGCGACTGAGGGCTCAGCGCAAGTGCTGGGGTCGGAGGCGGACTTCGCCCGCAGCTGGGAGGGAGCATGTGCCTGGGTTCCCCGGGCTTCCCACTCCAAGGACAGAGTCTGTTACCTCCAGCTCCACAACTCTGGCACCCGGCACCAGGCTCGGGCTGGGGCTCCAACCCAACTCCAGACTCCGATCTGACGCCATGACCCGTGTGCTGACTCATTGTGGTTGACCCAGGTCGACTTCAGGGGCAAGACAGGCAAGAGCGGGCATGCAGGCCAAGGAGGCTTTCTCCCCCACCGTCCGCCCTCCCACCCTCCAGACGCAGCCCCACCGTGCCCTCAGTGCCACCACGCA